GTCAAATGATCACTTCTATTAAGAGGAAGGTTATAACATAAACTTTATTACCCTAGCGGTCAAGAAAGAAAAATCCTTTTATACTGCTATAAATATTTAAAACGTATCTTCTTATTATTGAAAGGTTACCATTGCAAAATCGTAAGGATTTCTTGTATTGAAGAACTTGAACAAATGCTAACAGGTTTTTAGTTCCAGATTAACAATTTATTTGCAGTTTTTGTTTAACTTATTGGTGATTCTACAAAAGTTGGACAACTTGATGTCATCAGTCAATAGAGTAGGTATCTTAATATTTTTTGTAAATATTTTAGTATATTACAAAAGATCCAGGTTTTTTTAACTTGTCCACCCAATTTTAATGTATTTTTTTAAAAGCACGTTTGTGGAAAAAACATAATAAATATTCAAAAATCAGTACCTTGGCGTGTCACAACTCCTGAATCAAATTTTTTGAGTGGTTTTATTTTAAAATATATTCAATTTATCTTAAATTTTTCAATTTCACTACAAACTATAAAACATTAAATAATGTATTTTTCTTATTTTATTATAGATTCAAATAATAGCGATTTTTTAAAAACTGATAATCTAGTCAAAGATTAATCTTTGTATTGACTTTTACCCGTCAGTTCTGTGTCCAATGTTAAAATTCAAAATTCCTGCGAAATATTGAAGTTTAAACGTCAAGTCCTCGTTTTAACTCAAGTGTTGATAAGTAGCATCCACTAATAAAAAATATCAGTAAAATACCTAATTCCGAATTATAATCTGAAATTTGTGTCCTATTCATCAGTACCGTGTCGTCAGTTCCATGTTCGATGTTTCGGTTATCTTTTTTTGCAAACTTGTATTTAAATTCTGCTTGCGCAGAACTTTATTTAATGTCATTATAAACTCATATAAATTTAGTGTGGGTCCCATATCTAATAATTGAGATATTGGTATACCCAAAATTCACCAGCAGCCACTGATATGTGGTATTTGATTTTAAGAAATTTAATGTATAATATATGCTCAAAGTTGCAATAAATCTTATATTTTCCAATAAATTATGTATTTAATTATTACCCTGGTATACAGCGCCGGATTATAAAAATTTGCGCCCCGGGTCTAATAAAAAATTTCCGCCCCTACCTATATAATAAATTCAAAGAAATGTCACTTCTTAACGAAAGGATTTTATTTAACCATGAACATTAGGGTTGTAGTATTTTTTCGAATTTTTTTTGATTTTGGAGATCAAATACAAAAAATAAGTCTAGAGTTTCAACAGATAAAAAAATTTTAGACGTCGCTCAAAACTTTTTTAAACCAACCTTTTTTCTCAAAATCTTTGGCTTTTCACTATTTTTTTTGTAGGTCGTATAGGAACATAATACATTTTTAAGTCAAAATATTATTGGTCGCTCAATATTTTTGAAATACATTTCTTGATTTTTTTTAATAATTTTGATCTTGTAACCACTACTATTTTTCCAATTTAGTTGAAACTTGAATACTTTAAACTTAAATTGTTTCATGTGAGCTCCGAAATAAAAAAAAATTCGAAAAAATATTGCCACTCTAAAAACATAAACAAAAACTATTTAAAAAACAAATACCTAAATAAGAAAATTAACATTTTGCCAACTCAACTTTGCGTGCTTTTAGAGAAGCAAATTTGTTTATCGCAATATTGACGTCATCTTTCAATAGGCTAATACCTATACTGTATATATACATACATATATATATATGACTGGTACTGTATATAACTATAGTTTTAAACTAATTTAAATTAATAGTTGTTCGTAGTGTAATAAAATATTTTTATATTAAAAAACCTTTACGCCCATATGCATCGCATCGGTGGAAATAATCAATTTCTGCAAACTAAAGTTCTTGTCGCCCAACAACTTGTCGGGCGCCCTACGTAATACGTGACATGACATATTTCGTATACTATGCATAGATAATAATAGTATGGCAACAATCACGGTTATAATCTAAATAATTTTTTTATTAAAACTGATTAATACACGAAAAATAAAAAAAGGGGAAAACCCTTTAGGTTGTAGTAAAAAACAAAAATTACCAGTCAAAAATTTTGCGCCCCCTGTAAGCTTGCGCCCCGGGTCTATAGACCCCCAAAGACCCCCCCTAAATCCGGCGCTGCTGGTATACTCGTCACTTCCCTTGCATTCAAATTTAAAAAACACAGATATTTCAGAAACTGTTTGAAAAAGTGACTGGCTCGGTCTGGAACAGTATAATTATTATATTATCTATGTTGCCCAACTTTTGTAGAATCACCCATAGTTAGTGGATGGATTTATGGACTATTAAAAAATAAAATAATAAATTAATATTGCGTTTGCAAGGATTTTGAAAACTAACAAAAAACCCGCTTTTTTATATTACCGAATGGTGTCAATTGAATTCCTTCAGAGTAACGTTTAGTATAATTTTATTTGGGTAAAAGAAAATTTCAGTCCTTATTATATTCCGCTTCATTGTTAGGTACACACTTACTTTTCACAACGAGTTTAAGTAATCACTTTCATCTTTCCCTGTATGCAAAATTATAAGAAAGAAAAAACAAGTAAAATTTCTCCTATTAGAATTTTATACATATTTTAAATTTAAATACAAAATTTAAAATATTTTTCTCTCCACAGTTTTATTTATATACAGAGTATCCCATAAATGGCTATTCACAATACTATAAATCACGTAAGTAAAAAAACGTAACATAACCTAAAAACCGATGTTGGAAATGCACTTTATTTAAGATAGGTACAAACTAGATCAAAACAATTTTATATAATTATTTGATTTTCGATCAAACTCCTAGTTCGATAGCAAGTTTCTTCATATTTCGCCAAAGTTTCCAAAGATATGTGGTTAAGATTGCTCAAATTATTAATTCAGACAATGATTGGCATAGCAATAAGTAAATATACCTCAAGTGAAACGACCAACCAGCTGACTAGGAAATAGTTCAATAACTAGTGCAGGAGATTTTTTTCACGTGTGTGGTATTCGCCAGTAAGTAAAAGTGACTTTAAAACATCCTATTTCCTTTTCTAGCGTTGTATACTGACATCGACTTTTACAGAATACTAATCCAATTAACAACAACTGTACACCGTTTAAGTTACGTGGTATTACACAAGCCAAACTTTCATATAATTTCCCCCCAAAAAAACTAGTTTTTTTTAAATTTTCCAATTGGGGAAAATGATAAAAAGTTGTCAAATTAATAATAATAATAATAATAACCAGGGTTTGTAATTATTTTTAATTAATTAAATAAATCACTTTTTTTGATAATAATTACCTTATTAAATTAAATCTGATTTTTTGGTACCCACGATTTTTTAACTAATATTTAAGTTTCCTTTGGTTTAAGTTTTATACATTATTTCATTCGGTGATAATTATCAATTGCGCACCATGGTCACTTTTTACCTGCCAGCATTAAATCCTTTAATTTAAAGGATTATTGTACTATTTTTAATAAAAATACCTCATTTAAGGTACAAAAAATATTATTTTGTCAATTAATTAATTTAATCCTAATTGAATAATAATTATTATTGAGGTATAAAGAAACTATTTATAGTTTAGCATTATTTAATCAATTTAGTTCGAAGAAGCAAACAAAAATACCTCCTTTCGTTAAGCACTTATTCATAATGGATTTTTTAACAGTGGAAGAAAAATAGAATTGATTTTGGCAGGAATCTTGCTGATACTGTTAATATATACGCTCAGCGTTTTCCGGAAAAATTCGATCACGTACTTCATTTCACCGTACAGTCAAGCAGTTTACTACAAACGGGAGTGTTCAACCGAAAAAAAAAGAGTTCGTCGAGCAACAGTCACAGGTGGAAATAACGAAATTAATGTATTAGCAGCAACGGCCGCTAATCCTCATGCAAGCACACGAGAATTATCAAGAGATTTGGGAATATCCCATTGCAGTGTTAGAAGAATATTAAAACGAAATAAATAGTTGTTTAAAAAATAAAACCAAGTATTTTATTCAAAAATTATTGAAGAATCGTATACAGAAGAAAAATCGAACAAAATTGATTTTTTTTCCTTACAGCGCCATCTATTACAAATATGAAAAAATGTTATATATACTTTTTTCTAAAATGTTTGTGATTATAAAAAAATTTCTTAAATATTGGATGGCATCTCAAATAATTTAATATGGCGCCTTTCGAAAATATTATATTTAGTTTTATTTTAAAATTTAAGATTATTATTCAAGATTTTAAAATAAAAAGAAAAAAATCGATTTGAAAACAAAATAAAAAAATAATAAAGAATGAGAAACCAGATGACAGCATTAGTATCAGAATTAGTTATCTTTATTTAAATAATATTAAAATTAATATATTTTAAAAATTGCATCCAACATTTAATAGCACCGTATCTAATTAAATCATTACTTCATAAAATTATATTGTTAAAAGCTTTTAAACCTCAACCAGGAAATCTTAATTAAAACCTACCACTAATTGCATTAGATCACGATATACTTATTAATAAAATTGATAAAAATCATAATTAAGTATAAACTCAGTAGGATATCAATGAAAATCGTAATTAAAACAAAACCCAATTCATACCCAGCGTTTAGATCATATCGATTATTTAAATAACGTCTAACCTTTTCATTTGTATCTCGTAACAGAATCTAGAAAAATCCAACCTTCAATTGAACATGCATCTTAAATTTCATATTGTGTAATTATTTTTAACACGTTTTTTCAGAAGAGTAGTTGCGTTTATGAAAAACACTACAACCACATCGCACTAAAAAGTTTGTTCTTCATCCGAATTTTGAAGATACAAAAACCATTTAATGGTCTGAATTTCAGACTCTGAAATGTTCACTTTGAGGTTTCCATCATACAAATCGAGTTTTATTGGCAACAATTTATTTGAAGAGGTACTTATTTAACTGATAACAAATGAAAGTAATAAATGTAAAGACCACTTACTGTTTTATAAACTTGCATGTTGTATGGTGTTCAAATATCCAAACAGCACTAACTAGAGAAAGAAAATAAGTATACGTATCACGTCTCACGCAATTTGCTAACGATGTGAATGGAACCACTATGAAACTGTTAAGAGTGAGAGTGCACTTTGAATGTCTTTAGGTGAACTCGAGTAACAACATTTATAACCTCGTTCTCCCAACTACGCTAGGGAAACAATCCGATTATTGTCTCAGTCCGAAGAAAATAAATGACTAATTCATTACCATAGGATTTGGCAATAAATTTTGACCCTTTTTATTTGCGGAATACTAAGGGCCGGTTTTTCAATCGTTGGTTAACTTTATCTTACGGTTAATTTCCTTAGATACTATTGTTATCACAATAGTATCTAAGAAAGTTAACCGTAAGTTAAACTTAACCAACGATTGAAAAACCGGCCCTAAGTAAGTACCATTGACTATTTGCTGTACACTGTTATGTGAGTTTGTAGTTTGTTAATTTTATTCCATAAAATTTTAACATAATTTTTTGCAGAAAATCAGGGTTTGTAATTATTTTAACAAAGGAAAATATTTTACTGAAAGTTTTGTAAAGGTGATATACAATTTTGTATGCATTTTGTAAATTTCAAATTACTTCGTTGAAAAAGTACACGTGGTTTTAGGCAGTCAATGAAAACATTTTCCACTGACAATACACATTTTTTAAACCTTCCAGTGAGAATATTCTTAGGATCGTGCTATATTTCTTCTAAAGAACATGCTTAAAAGACATATAGCATGATCCTAAGAATATTCTTACTGGCCTATAGGCAGGTTCTTAGAAGGTGCAAAGTTTTAGTGGTAAAAATTAGTCTACTCTAAACATATGCTTAGAATGTTAAGAAAGTAATTGCTATAGAAAGTTCATTTAGGAATATTCCTGTTAAGCATATTTAGTTCAGTTACCTATATAATAGTAAAATATACCATAAACTACGTATAAAGGTATACTTATACTCATACTTAAGTACCTAATTAGTAATTAGTATTAAATACTAAGTAAAAACACAATCCAAAATATTTTTTTATAGTTATTTGTCAAATTAAAACAAAATTCGATAAAAAAAATACTTTAACTATAGGGATTTTATTTTATGTTAAAAATAAATATTTATTAATTTGTATACCAAATTAACATTTTTATGTATAATAATCTCAACTATCTTCAACTTCAATCTAATCTGACTTATCCCACAAAATTTTCCAATTTTACTTTTTATGAAATAATGTCATACAACTTGTGGTTTAGAGGTCAAATTGTTTATTTAATATTTTTAAATAAATATATATTAATTTGTCACAAATTTTTTTAAGGGGACGACAAATACATTTCACTCTCATATTATGACAGTGAGGCGTATTTGTCGTCTCCTGAAGAATTTTACGAATGTAGAATACAACATATTAGAACGTGGGTATCTGACATATTTGGAAATATTTTCAAAAGCTTCCTAGAAGCTCCATAAGAAACCTTCTAAGAACATTCCAAAAACGTATTCTTAAAATGTTCTTAGGATGCTTTTTAGGAAGGTTTTAAGAAGCTTTTAAGAATCTAATTGCATCATTAAAAGGGTATCTATTGAATGTTTTAAAAGTCCCTAAGAACATTCTTAGCAATAAGGGAAGGTTCTAAGAATATTCCATTATTCCGGGTCATATCTTCTTAGAAGATTCTTAAAATCAAATTTTGCTATCAGGGTGCTTACTTTATTCTAATTCGTAACGTGTTCGTAATAACTGTCCAGAGTGTTTATGGGTGGTTTTCAGTATCTTTTAAGATTCTAATTTAATTTTGAAAAAAAAATGTTCGGATTTAGTTCAACTGAGTTTTTTCTTTTAGGTAACTTGGTCAAATATGCCAGAATAAGGAAAGTGCTTAATGTGCATAAAAATAAAAAATAAACAAATTTTTAACATGACCGTCACAAACATTTTTTTTAAATGTAATTTCACACATATTCCCACGTTGTGAATTTTAGGTTAGAGTTTCCACCGGTAAACAATCAACAACAAAAAAACATAGCGAGCAATTTATAACTATTTATGTTGCTATTTTATCACTAATGACGGTCATGTTAATAAAAAAATACGAAGAACTTTAACTTACCTTTTCTATATCAAAATACACGACAGGAACTGTAAATATATATATTTATATATCGCGAACTGAACTGCACATTTTTTTACATTTTACTAGACATACATATTTTTATCGATTTATCATACCAAAAGTTCAACATCCTATGAATTTATTTTTTAATTTTGGTTTTAAAACTCCTGTTTCACATGACCGTCGTATGTCCCTCGAGCAAAATCCAATATTTGCGATCTTATAAAAGTTTAATTCAACTTTTAAGTAGCCAAAGAAAATGATATTGAACAAATGTTGGGTTTTTGTGTTATAAAATTGTCTTAAATAGCCATTATTGTTAATGTTTAGGCTAAAAATAATAACTGAACGTTGTCCCGACGTTTTCTTCACATGACCGTAGAAGGACTTTTAGGTCGCCTATTTGCCGCTAGATGGCACTGCATGTGTGAATTAAAATATTTTATTATTGCAAATAGCGACAGTTAATTGAGCACGTTAGTTAGCGATATAGTGATAAAATAGCAACATAAATAGTTATAAATTGCCTGCTATGTTTTTTTTGTTGTCGGTTGTTTACCGGTGGAAACTCAAACCTAAAATTCACAACATGGGGATACTTTTAATTTTGAGCAAATGAAAATGTGTGAAATCACATGAAAAAAAAGTACGACGGTCATGTTAAAAATTTGTTTATTTTTTATTTAAAAGTTTTAATTTTAGCCACATAAAGCCCTTTCTTCATCATTCTGGCATATTTGACCAAGTTACATAAAATAAAAAAGTCAGTTGAACTAAATCCAAACATTTTTTTTTCAAAATTAAATCAGAATCTTAAAAGATACTGAAAACCACCCATATATATTTTATATATTCTGTATGAGTATCAATCTAGTTGCAGTAATTTTGTTTTTGTCAAACATCCTATTTTATTGGGTAGGTGATCTGAACATGTTAATCATAAAAATTTTATATTGTCTTCCTTGGTAAAAACAATTGCATATTTAGCTATAACTTTTAGAGCGATAAAAGTTTTATGCACAAATTAAATGGGTTTTAACTTCTTTTAGGTGCATTACACAATTGCACAATTATTATTATTATCTAATTGGTTACCGGGGTAAAGGTGGGTATGTAATATTTTATATTCTAGATGTCGCACGTTGGACAAATCATAAATTAATATTTTTATAAACTTAGTTTAAAAAGTATTTTCTCCTTTCAATTGAATTCAATTTAAAAGTACCGCGAATTTTAAATAATGCAATATCCCAAAATGTATTTTTTTCACTTGGATCATTAAATGAATAATTTTAAAAGCTGAATATGAATAAATAAAATATTTTGTTAAACTAACTCGCACATGAATAAATTAATGAAAAGTGTTAGACACAAGGTTATGCTATGAGCAAAATGCATTGTAATAGTGTAACGGGAAACGAGATTTATTCAAATAAATTATCTAAAAATAAATTGCTTTAGGATACGATAACCAACACGTCAGGGTGATTTATGATAGCAAAAAATAAATAAATATTCCTACTTAATTTTAAAGAAAATATTACATTAGTTTATAAGGAGCTAAAGTGCCACTTAAGAGTGCGAGTCTGGACCAAAATAATTCAAAATTGGTGCAAAAAAGCGTCAAAAATTATTCACAATTAAATAACACACCATTCTAAAACCATCAAATTATAAAGATATTGGTACAATATAATTATTAGTACTACTACAGTAGTATACAACACTTACTGATCTAAGAAAGGATTGAACCTACACCTCGCCAAAGTTTTTTGTTTTGAGTGCGTTCCACCAACTACAAATACCTACAGAGAGCTGTTTCGACCTATATTGGGTCTCATCAGTGTCAGGCAACTTGGTGTAGTGGAACACACCCAAAACAAAGGACTACCTCAGCTTATTACTACATTGGTAAGCCAACAGAGGCGAGATGTAAGAACATCACGTGATCCACACCGTCTAACGACATGGCCTTTGCCGCGTCAAATTGTCTCACAGATACTAATATGGCCTAAATGAATCTAGAATTAGCCCACACGGAAAAAAATCTATACTGATTCCAAGAAAATTCAACTCTATCCAAGTATAGCTTAGTTTCCCTATTCCGCAAGTAAATTTATACTTGTTTCAAGTATCCTCATATTCTTATAAAATAAAGATAGCTTCGGTTTAATCTAAGATTACTGCTATACTAAAAATAAGAAACACACTAATTTTGAGTTAAGTATACAAATTTGTCTTCAATGAAGAGTACGGTATTCTTGTTGTAACGTTAGTATGTACTTCATCAAAGTATAGTTTCTTTGTAAAATCTTTACAGTATTCTTGATTTAAGAATATACTTTCTTTAAAATTTATTTATTTATACTTATTGTAAGTACACGCTTTACTTGCATAAAATGCTTGTATTCTTACTTTTCCTTTTTTTATATTTGATAAAAGTATAGTATATATTTAAAATAACTTTACACTATTCTTAAAGAAAGTGGTTGATTAGAAAAAAAATTCCCTCGTCTAGCGACTCGGAATAATTTTTACAAAAAAAACATTCGTGACCCTGAAAAATATTTGTATTAATTATTCTACTACTACGGAAAATACAAGTGAAAGTGAAAATATAATCGTTATGACAGTAATTTAACAGTATTTTTGGCATATTATTTTAATTATTTTAATGTACTAAAGTACTAAGTATAATAGGCACTGATATCACAATAGGTTTATTACCTAACAGTCTTAGAGGTATTAGAAAAAGTACTGTCAATTTATATAAATTCATTCTTTCACGGTTAATTAACATAGATACTATATTTTACATTTTATTTTTTTAAGTACCTAGGTATCACATTTTTGGTGCTATAGGTATGTAAAGGTAAGGTTTTTTAATCACAATAGTTAATATTTTTTTAAGTAGGTATTTTTATTGTCAGTAAAATTTATCTCCAGCTAAATAATATGTAAAATGAGTCTCTAAGAAGGCTACCATTATCATC